TTATACAGTTGAAACAGTTCACACTATCATTAATTGCTAGTTGGAAAATTATCTGCAATTAACCAGTTGAGCAACTATAAAAGTGCTGATTGGAATGTTTCATTTTGGATAATTCTTCCTGTCAAGCCAGCTGTTAAATCTGATGGACAATCTCAGAACTATGAACATAGCATTGGAAATAAAATTGGTTAAATGTTTTGTAGCGTGTGACCTTGAGGAAGCCTGGACTTGCTCTGAGCCTCAGTTTTTCACCTTTAAAATGATGCTAACAGCACCAGCCTTGTTGTGTGCGCCAAACATTGACCCTTATGACGGGAGAACTGCCCCATAGGACCTCCTAAACTGTAATCTACAGGAGCAGATTGCTAGGTCTTTTCTCCTGCGGATGCACCTGGTAGATTGGAACCACAGATCTTTTGGTTAACTACCAGCAGCTGAGCACTCAACTGTTGCACCACCAGAGCTCCTTAGCACCAACCTTAACAAGGTTTGAGTAATAAGTTTACTAGAATCTGTGGAAGGTCCCTAGGTGGCACAATTTGCCCTTGACTGCAAACCTAAAGGTTGGAACTTTGAACTCACTCAACACTTCTTGTAGAAGTCCTGGCATTAAGATTACACCCATGAAAAAGCCTATCCAACAGTTCTCTGTAACACACATGAGGGCACCATGAATCAGGACAAACTTGACAGCAACAACAGTCTGGAAAGTACGAGGCACAGACAAATTTTCTGTTTTGGTTTAACAGAGCAGGGTTTGTGAAACACACCAGCCCTACTCATTTATTGCTGTTTTTCTCTGGACTCATGGCAACTTCATGTAAACAGAACAAAAGACTGCCTAGTCCCATGCCATTTTCACAATGGTTGGTATGCTCAAATCCATTGTTAGGTCACTATTTTCAGTGCTTTCCATTCTAGGGGGTTCATCTTCTCGCACATTATATTGGACAATATTCTCCTTACTCATTAGCCCACCCCTTTTTAGTCTAGATCATCTCTGGCCAAGCTGGGTAACAGACTGAGAGTGAGAAGAAAATAATGCTTCTAACAGACCACTGTGATTACTTAAAGACTTTGTTTTATTATACTACATGGGCTGGGATGGATGGGACAGGGTAGATGTAGTGAGCAACCATTGCACTAGTTAGCATCGGATGCCCATCCCGATTGCCATGAATGTGCCAAAAGTGCCGCCACTCTGCATCATGGTTTTCCCAATGCCGCCCATCAGCTCCCGACCCCGCATTCCGATCCTGTGAGGAGGAAACCAAGATAGGGCCAATGGGAAATAAAAACACAAGCAGTATTTCCAATCTGTGCTAATGATGAACCAAGCACTCCTAAGTCTGCCAGTTCCTATACCTTATTTACCACTTGCTGGGCATTAACATCTTTTCCCACCTGAGGTGAGTTATGATAAAAGGATCCATCAGGATCTCTGATTCCTCTGATGAATGTCATACATCAGGTTGTGGGAAGCAGCGGATGCAGTGTAAAGTATACAGATGCTCCAGGGTATATATGATCCAATAAAGACATTTGTCGTTTAGATAGTTTTACGGTGTTAAAACAACAGATTTTGGAGTTAGACCTGGGTTCAAGATCCAACCTGAAATTTACAAGCTGTGTCACGTGCAAAATAGGGATCATAAATAACATGGTTCATAAGGTTATTGTGATAAATAAGACAAAACATGCATAGCATTTAGCACAGCACTTGACACAGTTAAGTGCTTAATGGTAAAAAATCTGGAAAAATGGAAATAAGAGTCCCTAAATGTGAAAATGACTTGAGAGCAGAGTGTATCTGCTTCCAACTCTGAGGTAGCTCTTACAGGCCCCATTCTACGCTTGAGGAAAGTTAGCCTCAACCAACTTGCACGAATTCTTAAACACTGAGGCTTTTAACCTGTCCCTCCTGACCGAATGTTGCCAGGAAATCAGTCTCGCTACAGGCCACTGAGAGAACTGAAACAAAATACACTCCCATTAGGCTCCCTCCAGAGGGGATGGTCCGGTAGTCCTGCCTAGAGTTTACCGCCCGCGCCCCTCACCTGAGACAGGAAAAGGTGCCGAAGAGGGCCCCGGCCGCCATGCCCACGGCGCAACCCATTACGAAGCCCATCTTCACACGGTCGAAGCAGCTTGGTTGGGACTGCCCGTAAGGACCCACGGCCACCGGCATCTGCGGGGTGTGGGAGATAGGGACGTGAGGGCCTGGGCGCCAGCCTGGGAAGTGGGAGGACGCAGGAGGGAGGGAGGTAGGGAGCAGGCTCAAGGGTTCAGGGAAGTCTGGGAAGGAAAAGGAGTTCATAGCCTGCCTCCACCACCCGCTTCGCGTTCCGGGTCCCGCGCCGCGGTACCCCCACCTCACCTCGCTCGCGGCTGCGGTAGCTCAGCTCTACGTCTTACACGGTACGCGAAGCGTCTGGCGTTCGCAACCCGAGGAACCGCTTCCGGGGCACGAGGCAACACTTCCGGGATCTCCGGGCTGAGGAGTGCCGCCGCTTCGGGCGGGGGACTCTGCTATCTAGACCATGTTGCTACGAGTCGCCTGGAGGCGGGCAGCCGCGGCCTTGACTGCAGCTCCTGCGTGGAAGTCTGGGGCGCCCATTCGGGGTCTGCGCTTGCGCGGTACGCTCCGGGTCCTGCTCCCTGCAACCCCCAGGGGATACGGGGACCTGTCCTCAAGGGCTAGACTACGCAGCTGAATGTTCCGGAGCCTCTCGCATCCCACACCCTCTGACCTTCTCTCTCGGCTGCAACCCTCAAACTTTTTCAGGCCAACCCTCCGAATGTTTCATCCCGCAGCGCCACCCATCAAATTAGGCCGCGCAGACCCTCAGAGCCTTTGAGGCCCGGCCTTCAAATCTCTACTGGACAACTTTTATTAGAGTCGAGGATCCCGTCCCACCAGTAACCTTTCAAGGAGTTGTCACCTACTCTGTCTCCACATTCATTCTGAATGGCTTTGCCCTTCAGAGCCCTCCCTATTCCCAACATCCTTCTCAAAGAACGCTGTCTTTTTCCCTTACCTTCTCTTACAGCCTGCTCAAGTTCTCAGTGTTTTGTCTCCTTTTCCTTTGAGATTTGACCCCAGCATCCCATAAACTTACTTTCTTACTTCCGTCCAGCTTTTACCTTCTGCTGTCTTGGATGCCCTGTATCCGCAGTTGTGTCCCCTTTTATTTGACCACTCTGTTCTATTTTTTTGTCAGTTGTAGAACATGCTCCCCGGTCAGCTGTTCTCTCAGATACAGTCCCTGCTCCAGAGGCAGAGTCAATGCTGCGACCTATCTATATGGATGTGCAAGCTACAACTCCTCTGGTAAGGATGGAGGGGCAGTTTTTCCTAGAGTTGGGCAATTAAGTGACAGTGAACAGAAATGTCTGGATTCCTGTACAAGTTAGGGCCTTTGAGGTGTGCCAGGAAAAGCAATGAGCCAAGAGCCAGAAGACTTAAGTTCTAGTACACTAGAAATGCCTGTGCTACAAGCTAGCCATTGATGTTGGCTAGTTCACTTCAGTACAGGCACTATAGTAATTAAAAGTACTAGCTCTAGAATAAGCCAGACTTCTACTTAGTAACCATGTGAACTTGGGCAAGTATTAAATGGGTTAAAATTTGTAAAGTCTTAGAACAGGGCCTGGAACATGATGAGGACTCAAATATTAATGCAGGGTTTCACAAGAGCAAGCCTTGTTTGAGAAGGGATATTTGCCTGGGCCCTGTCATGTCCCAGTATCCCCTGATTGATTTAAAATCAGAAAAGGTGTGCGTCAGGGTTGTATCTTTTCACCGTACTTATTCAATCTGTATGATGAGCAAATAATCAAAGAAGAATGGAGCATCAGGATTGAAGGAAGACTCACTAACAACCTATGATAATCAGATGACACAATCTTGCTTGCTGAAAGCGAAGAGGACTTGAAGCAGTTACTGATGAAGATCAAAGACTACAACGTTCAGTATGGACTACATCTTAACATAAAGAAAATAAAAATCCTCACTACTGGACCGATAAGCAACATCATGATAAATGGAGAAAATGTTCATGTTGTCAAGGATTTTATTTTACTTGGATCCACAGTCAACCTCCGTGGAAGAGCAGTCGGGAAATCAAACGCCATATTGCATTGGGCAAAGATTCATTTTGAGGACTAAGGTGCGCCTGACCCAAGCCATGGTATTTTCAGTTGCCTCATATGCATGTGAAAGCTGGACAGTGAATAACGAAGACCAAAGAAGAATTGATGCCTTTGAATTATGGTGTTGGCTAGGGATGTTGACTATACCATGGACTGCCAGAAGAACAAACAAATCTGTCTTGGAAGAAGTACAGCCAGAATGCTCCTTAGAAACGAGGATGGTGAGACTTTGTCTCACATATTTTGGGCATGTTATCAAGAGGGACCCGTCCCTGGAGAAGGACATCACACTTTGTAAAGTAGAGGGTCATCGAAAAAGAGGAAGACACTCAGCGAGATGGATTGACACAGTGACTACAACAGTGGGCTCAAACATAGCAAGGATTGTGAGGATGGTGCAGGACCTGGCAGTGTTTCGTTCTGTTGTAAATAGGGTCGCTATGAGTCAGAACAGACTCAACGGCATCTAACAACAATAGCTGTCATGTCCCAGCCCTTCATAGATCACTTTGCATGGCAGGAATGGAAACACTTGCAGAAACAGGTGTCAGAATAAGGCAATATTTGTAGACTATCTGATGGGATGGTAGAACAATCTGATTTGATATTGATCGGGGGTAGGAGTATATCAGGCTGATTTTTGGTGAGTATCTGAGGGGATGGAAGATTGCTTGAGGCCTAATCTAGACAGTGTCTGAAGGATTGGAAGTGTGTTGAGGCAGGTTGAGCAGGTCTGAGGATGGAGTAGGGCCTGAGTTGACTATGGGCTCAGAATGACTGATTTGTTCTGTTGTGCTCAGGACCCCCGGGTGCTTGATGCCATGCTTCCTTACCTGGTCAACTACTATGGGAACCCACATTCCCGGACACATGCTTATGGCTGGGAGAGTGAGGCAGCCATGGAACATGCTCGCCAGGTTAGTACAGAGGAGTCTGGGAGGTTCTGAGGTCAGATGTTCAGTGGCATGTGGGAAGGACATTTCATTTTTGGCGGGTGAGGGTAGAGATGGAAGTAGTTTGGGGCCCTTTCAGGAAGAGATTCAGAAAGCAGGACCTGGAGTTTGACCTCAGGCATTTGATTAGTTCCAGCATTTCCTAGCTGAATGATCTTGGGCAAGTTACCTAATTTCTCTAAGCCTCAATTTCTCAGATTTAAAATGGGGATTGTAATGTTGGTACAGGGCTTCTTCCTGGAGCAGCTGAGCTGTTGTTCCTCCAGAGCTCTGTCCTAGCAGTGCTTGATCCACATTCCGGCCTCGGTAACTGATGTTAGGTTTCTCTATTTTTTGGCTTGCAGCAAGTAGCATCTCTGATTGGGGCTGACCCTCGTGAAATCATTTTCACTAGTGGTGCTACTGAATCCAACAACATAGCAATTAAGGTAAGAGAAGGAAACCAGAAGGCATATCTGGGCTCTCCTGACTTGGGAGATGGTATCCCTCCATCACTTGGATCTTACGTATGTGTTTCCCAGTCACTCACCCCCACCACATTGTGAGAGAAGACACACAAACACACACTCTTTCTGGTTTGTTGACTTTTCAACCCTTTGCAATCTATCTTAAGTCTTTGCTCCTCTTGAACTGATTGAGTGAGGTAGTTGGATAGGGTCAGTTTTTTGGATGGTAGCTACTTCAGAAAGTGGATAATGGTGATCCAACTCTTTCTTCGAGTCCTTTTGCTCTAGTCACAGTGAAGTCTGTAGTATACTTGTAGTTGTGCATGTTTCTCTACTTTTTTTCTTTAATTATTGTAAAATGTATGTATAACACAACATTTACGAAGTCAACATGTACTTCTTGTTACCCTAGCTTCACTCTTACATACATGACTTCAGGACTGCTCTCCTCTCAGCTTTCCCTTCTCTTTCTGGTCAGATCTGTTTCAACAAGTTCCTTCCATTTCCTCAGATGTTCCTATTTGGAAGTACTGGTGACCGTGGTGCCCTCTGCAGGCATTGATTTAGTCACCCATTCTGGGATTAGTCACTTTATCCTTGGGACACACTCTTGGGATATACGTACCCTTGGTGTTAACGCAAGTAAACTTCTCCTCTCAGTAGTCATGTTGGTGTTTCATAGGACGTAACCACATTTGGCTGGGCCTGATTTGCCAGTATTACTTGAGTGAATGTGAAGGCTTGGATAAATTGTGGTTTGCTTTACTTCAACTCTGGCCCCACTCCCTCTCACTGTTGTCTGCCTCACCGTTGCTGCCAGTGTTGGTTTTCTCTGACCTTGGCCTGAGTATAGGAGGCCTGGGACTGGTTCCAGAGTTGTCAGTACTCTTCCTGATCCTGCTAGCTGTAAGGCATCCTTCCTTTGAACTGCAGAGCTACAGAGCCAGAGTGGAGGTCCCTCCAAAGGTGGGGATGGTTGCTGGAATACGGAGCCTTTTCAAATTTTTGAAAATAATTTGCTTTGAAGTTCTCCACAGATCCCAAATCTAGAGGTCAAGGACTGCTAAGTATAGCTGTAATGGTGTTCCTCTCAGCCTCATAGGTGGGTAGAGTAGTTAAACTACCTGCAATTAGAGAAGTCTACCTACCCTGTGGAGAACTGAGATAGGAGACAGAAAAAAAAAAAATCATTTAAATTACATTATTTATAAACAACAGTAACAGAATTTTGAACTCCTACTTTTATCCTTCCCGTCACCCTGCAACTGTTTTTACATTATTGATGTAAATCATTTTTTGGATAAGATAGAGTATAAATCAGTTTTTTAGTGTTCTTCTTTTTCTGTTCCTTATCCTCATGAATATGTAGTTTATGTACAGTAGTTATAATTTTGGCTTAATTAGTATTCTGCTTTTAAAAGTAGTACTGTATTATAAAGTTATGGGGTCTTTTGCACATTTTATCTCTTTTAGCTTTTTCATTTTTTAAAAGTATGTAATTCAGTGCACGTGTTGTAAGAATTTTTAACCCTGTAAAAATGTTTAAAATGAAAAGTGTAAGTCTTCCTTTCTTTCTGCCCCTTCTTTGACCTCTAGTCCTGCTCTGCAAAGTTAATCCTGTTAATTTCTTTAGTATTGTTGCTGGAAAAAAAACTGTACATATATATAAATTTGCATTGAATATTTTCACAAATTGTAGCATATCATATTTATTCTTCTGTATCCTCCTTTTCTCCATTAATAACCTTACGGTGTTCATTTTAAACTTCATAATTTTTAATATTAACTGCATTCTTTTCCATGGACTTGTGTTATCACCGTTTACTATTTATTTCTATATTGTTGGACATGTTTAATATTTTCATTTTTTTAAGGATTATAAATACAACTACAGCATATTTTATCTCTAAAACTTCATCTTCTTTTTAAATATTTCCCTAAGGTAAATTCCCAAAACAGAAATTAAAGTCAAAGAGTATGAATACAGCTTTTAAGATATCTTTTTAAACAATTCTCTGAAGAGATTATAATGTAAGTGCTGCCTTCAGCAAGGAATAAGTATGTGAGTTTCACTTCTACACTGCCAGATTTGGATATTGGTATCACCATATTTGTCATGTTGTGTTACTTATATACATATAACAGAGAGAGACTTTTTCCTAGAATCTAAGGATAGGAATTGTCCCCATTTTTTGCTTTTGTTCACTTTCCGCTTAGAAATAGGATCAAAGTCATTGTTGTCTCTCTGAGTGTGTTCTTCTTCTTTCTACCACCACCAATTTCTAGGGGGTGGCTAGGTTCTATAAGTCACGGAAAAAGCACTTGATCACCACCCAGACTGAACACAAATGTGTCTTGGACTCCTGCCGTTCACTAGAAGCTGAGGGCTTTCAAGTCACCTACCTTCCAGTGCAGAAGAGCGGGATCATCGACCTAAAGGTAGGAGTGACTCTTGGCAGGAGGGGGCAAAATAGAAGGAGCTTGGCTTCAACCAGTAAATCAGTCTCTTCAGCCTCAGCTTGAGCTTGAAGGAATAGATCTGATTGTTAGGGAAGGATGTAAACAAATAGGCCTGTCAGAGAAACTGAGGGTTTATTTCCCCTGAGTATGTATCATCCTTCTTTTCTCTAGAGGACTTGTTTCTCAGCTTTGTCAGTGCTTCCTAGTTTACATGAGAGCCACTGGGCACGTGTGCAGGATGCCAGGGACTGTCACCGTCGCAAAGCTCTGGCCCCCTCCTCCCCTATACTGATGTCTCTCAACTCTTAAGAGGATGTGTGATTTTCTTAAAGAATATTTCCCTTTTTGGCCCCATTTCCTTATATGTCCATTTTGAGAAGTGAATCCAACATTACCATCAGATTTTGGATAGCAGGATCCCTAGACAAACCCTAAGATGCACTTTGTAGTCAGAGCCTTTACTCCAAACTCTAAACTGCTTCTCATCGTTCTTTGTTTCTTCCCTCTTTCTTCTTGCTCACATTCAGTCAGTCGGCATGTCTATAGTTATTTCTTTCCAATGTCTGAATCAACTCTTTTGCTTTTCATTCCTTTGTTTGGGCTGCATCCTGGATCTTAGCTACCTCTGGACTAAAGCTCTGTTGCCTGAACTAGTCCTTTAGCCACCACCCTCCAGTATGTCCTGCAGACTGTTACCAGACTTTATTTCTAAAGTACTCTTTTGATGTTTTTTCACTTTAACCAAAAACCTTGAGCAATTTCTATTTCAGCATGGAGAATAATTTTGTTTGCTGATGCTGAAGGTCCTTTACATGTTGTTGTTTTTCCTTTGTACATTTTTAAACATTGCGATATAATTCACATACCATAACATTTACCCTTTTAAAGCATATGATTCAGTGGTCTTTAACGTATATACAAAGTTGTGCAACTGTCACCACTATCTCATTCCAGAATATTTTTATCGCCTCCCACCCAAAAAGAGCTCATACCTGTTAGCAGTCACTCCAATTTCCCCCTGCTTCCAGCTGCCTTCAGCTACAAATCTCCTTTCTGTCTCTGTGGACATTCTGCCTATTCTGAACATTTCATAAAATACGTGGCCTTTTGTGTCCGACTCCTTTCATTTAGCATAGTGTTTTCAAAGTTCATCTATGATGTAGCATGTATCAGTACTTCATTCCTTTTTTTGGCTGAATAATATGTTATTGTATAGATATACCACATTTTTTTAATCCATTCATCAGTTGATGGGCACTTGGGTTGTTACCACTTTTTGGCCCATTATGGTTATTATGAACAATGCTGCTCTGAATATTTGTATACATGTTCTGGTATAAAACTAAATTCTCAATTATTTTGTGTCTGACTTCTTTTCTCTTAGCATGTTTTTGAGGTTCATGTTGTACCAGATATCAGTAGTTAGTTCCTCTTTATTGCTGAGAAGTATCCCATTGTATGGGTATAATCCATTGCCGTCGAGTCGATTGCTACTCATAGTGACCCTGAAGGACAGAGTAGAACTGCCCCATAGTATTTCCAAGGATCGGCTGGTAGATTCAAACTGCCGACTTTAGGTTAGCAGCCATAGTGCTTAACCACTGCACCACCAGGGCTCCTTGTATTGGTATACCACATTTTATTTATCCATTCATCAGTTGATGTACATTTGGGTTGTTTCCACTTTTTGGCTATTACGAATAATGCTGCTATGAAACTTTGCTTACAGGTCTTTCTGGGGACATATGTTTTTATTTTGTTGGATAGATACTCAGGAATTGCTTGTTTGTATGGTAAATTTATATTTAACTTTTTAAAAAAACTTCCAAACTATCTTCCAAAGTGAATGTACCATTTCACATTTCTACCAGCAATGTATGAGAGTTTCAATTTCTGCATATCCTTGCTCTTACGGATTGAATTGTGTCCCCCCTAAAATATGTGTTGTAGATCCTAACCTCTGTGCCTGTGGTTATAATCCCTTTTGGGAATGGGCTGCCTTTATTATGTTAATGAGAAAGGATTAGTGTAGGGTGTGTCTTGAGTCAGTCTCTTTTGAGACATAAAAGAGATTAAACAAGCAAGCAGAGAGAAGCAGAGGTGGGTGAAGATAGACACCATGCCCCATGAAGATCACCGAGGAGCCAAGGAGTAAGGAGTTTCCCCTAGTGCCAACAGAGAGAGAAAGCTCTTCCCTAGAGCTGGCACCCTGAATTCGGACTCCTAGCCTCCTAAACTGTGAGAAAATAAATTTCTGTTTGTTGAAACCACTCTTGTGGTATTTCTGTTATAGCAGCACTAGATAACTGAGACACTTGCCTATACTTCTTATTATCTATCTTTTTTGTTATAGCCATCTCAGTGGGTATGAAGTGGTATCTGATTGTGGTTTCGATTTGGATTTCCCTAATGACTAATTATATTAAGCATCTTTTCATGTACTTATTTGCCATTTGTGTATCTTTTTTGAAGAAATGTCTATTCAAATCCTTTGCCTATGTTTTAAAAATTTCGTTTATTTTTTGTTGTTGTTGAGAATGTACACAGCAAAACATATACCAGTTCAACCGTTTCTACATGTACAATTCAGTGACATTGATTACATTCTTCAAGTGGTGCAACCATTCTCAACCTCTTTTTCTGAGTTGTTCTTCCCTCATTAATATAAACTCAGTCCCCCCTATGGTTCCTGTCTAATCTTTCGATTTGCTGTTGTCAGTTTGATCCCATATAGACAGTTCTTGAAAGAACATAATGCTCAAGCTGTTACCCATTTTTTAACTGGGTTGTCTTTTTGTTATTGAGCTGTAGAAGTTCTTTGTATGTTCTGGATACTGAATCCTTACCAGGTACATGATTCGCAAATATTTTCTCCCGTTCTGTGAGTTGCCTGTTCACCCTATTTTTTATTGTGCTTTAGGTGAGGGTTTACAGAGCAAATTAGTTTCTCATTAAACAATTAATAAGCATATTGTTTTGTAACATTGTTTGTCTCTTCACTTTCTTGATAGTGTCCTTTGGGGCAGAAACATTTTTTGTTTTGATGAAGTCCGATTTATTTATTTTTTCTTTTGTTGCTTGTGCTTTTAGTGCCATATCTAAGAACCCATTCTCAAATCTGAGTTGTGAAGTTTACCTCTAGCTCTTACACTTATGCCTTTGGTCTATTTTGAGTTAAATTTTGTGTTCAGTGTGAGGTGATGGTCCAACTTAATTCTTTTGCAGATGGAGATCTGGCACCATTTGTTGGAACAACTATTCTTTCGCCATTGGATGGTCTTGGCACCATAATTGACCATAGCTGTATGGCTTTCAATTCTATTCCATTGATCTTTATGTTGTCTTTTTATCAGTACCACACTGTCTTGATTACTATTGTTTTGTAGTAATTTTGAAATCGGGAAGTGTGAATCCTCCAAATTTCTTATTCTTTCTCAAGATTGTTTTGACTATTTGGGATCCCTTGCAATTCCGTGTGAATTGTAGGATCAATTTGTTAGTTTCTGCAAAGAAAGGCAGTCAGAATTCTGATAGGGATTGCGCTGAATCTGTAGATAAATGTGGGGAGTATTAACCATCTTAACAATATTAAATCTTCTAATCTATGAACATGGGATATCTTTCCATTTGTTTACATCTTCTTTAATTTCTTCCAACAATGTTTCATAGTTTTCTGTGTACAAATCTTGCACCTCCCTGGTTAAATTTATTTTATTAAGTAAATTTAATTATTTTGTATTTTATTCTTTTGATACTATTGTAAATGGAATTGTTTTCTTAAATTCATTTTTGGATTGTTCATTGCTAGTATATAGAAATACAGCTGATTTTTGTATATCGATCTTGTGTCCTCTGACTTTGCTAAAACTTATTAGCTTTGATTTTTTCATATGGATTCTTTAGGATTTTCTGCATATAAGATCATGTCATCAGTGAATAGAGACAATTTTACTTCTTTCTTTTCATTCTGGATGCTTTTATTTCTTTTTCTTGCCTAATTGTCCTGATAAGAATTTCCATTGATGAATAGAAGTGGTGAGAGCTTTAGGTCTTTCACCATTGAGTATGATATTAGCTATGGATTTTCATAGATGCCCTTTATTAGATTGAGGAAGTTCCCTTATGTTCCTAGTTTGTTGAGTGTTTTTATCATAACAAACTTGTTGGATTTTGCCAAATGCTTTTGTTTATGTCTATTGAGGTGATCATGTGGTTTGTGTTCTTTATTAATATGGGGTATTACATTGATTGATTTTTGAATGTTTAACTAGCCTTGCATTCCTGAAATAAATCCCACTTGGTCATGGTGTTTAATCATTTTTATATGCTATTGGATTCAGTTTGCTAGTATTTGTTGAGGATTTTTGCATCTGTATTCAAAAAGGATATTGATCTGTAGTTTTATTTTCTTGTGATATCTTTCTTACATTTTGGTATCATGATAATACTAGCCTGTACATGGTGGTCGAAACCCACTGTTTCAGTCTTGCCGATCACTGTGCCCCTTCAAAAACCCCTCCTTTTCAGCCATGCGGGCCTATGTGTCTCCCTAATGTACCCGGGCCTGTTCTGTCTTGGGCCTTTCCTTACATATCCCCTCACCTTTGAGCTCTTACAGCCTTCTTTGCACTTAATTAATCTTCTCCATCTTTTGAAAACTTAGCTCAAGTCCCACCTTTGTCATGAAATCTCCTTGGCTGCTCAAACCTATTCTGATCTCTTTCTTCTCTGGATTCCCTCAACACTTAATGGCTTTTTACTTCTGTTCTCTGTTGTGTGTATATGTCTGTCTCTCCAACTAGGCTATGTTTCTTGAAGGCTTGTTGTTGTTGTTAGTTGTGGTTCTGTATTTTTATTTCTCATAATGCTTAGCATATTGCCTTTTTTTTCGCTTAGTATTATTTACTGTGCCACAGTGCCAGGTACTGGAGATAGAGGGATGAACAAAACGGGCCTAATCCCTCCCTCCAGGGAGCTTACATTCTAGTGAAAGGGACAGCTGACAAGTAAATGAACACACACAGGTAGTCCCTGACTTAACTGAGGTTCCCTTCTGATGATAGCTTTGTAAGTCGGTTCTGACATAAGTGGAACACCTCTTTTTTTTTTTAGTTTTCATAGCGTGCTCTAAAGCAGTGTTTTCAACAATAAATCATAACATTGAACATCTGCAAATGATAACATCAGCAAATTACATGCTGCAACATTGTATGTAGCATATGTTACTAATGATAATATGTACAAAAAAAAAAACAAAACCGGACATTCCTAAGTGCAGTTTGTCATAACTCAAAAATGTCGTTAAGTCAGGGACTACCTGTAAATGAAATAATTATAAATTGGAATAAGTGCAATGAAGGAAGCAAACATGGGAGCTGAGAGAGAACATGACATTAAGAACCTATGTTAGACCAAGTGTCAAGGAAGGTAGAATAGATGTTGGTGAACTGATTAATAATTTCTTTAAGATGTATGAAGTTTCACACAGATATGATCCTGGCCTTCGTGTTGTTAATAGTAACCCTGTTCTTTGCTGTGTACTCTGTTCTTAGCAGCTCACTCTGACAACCCTAAGTAGTAAAGGCTACCCTCCCCCCTTTTTTTTTACTTTTTTATTTTTAGATAATTATAGATTTACATGGAGTTGAAAAGAAATAGTACAGAAATCTCATGTACCCTTTATCCAATTTCCCTCAGTGATAATATCTTGCAAAACTATAATACAATATCAATATCAAAACTAGGGTATTGATACTGATACAATCTACTAATGTTTTTCTGATTTCCCCAATTGTACTCATGTGTGTATGTTTAGTTCTATGCAATTTTATCACCTGTTTAGGTTTGTGTAGCCACCACCACAGTCAAGATAACAGAACAGTTCTATCACCACAAGGATCCTTGGTGTTATTCCTTTTTTTTTCAATTGTGCTCTAAGTGAAAGTTTACAATTCAAGTTAGTTTCTCATACAAAAATTTATACACCCATTGTTATGTGACGCTAGTTGCTCTCCCTATACTGTGACAGCACATTCCTCCTTTCCACCCCGGATTTCCCGTGTCCATTCAACCAGCTCCTGTCCCTTTCTGCCTTCTCACCTCACCTCCAGACAGGATCCGCCCATTTAGTCTCATGTATCTACTTGAACTAAAAAGCACACTCCTCACAAGTATCATTTTATGTTTTATAGTCCAGTCTAATCTTTGTCTGAAGAGTTGGCTTCGGGAATGGTTTTAGTTTGGGGCTAACAGAGTCCGGAGGCCATGTCTTCCAGGGTCCCTCCAGTCTCAGTCAGACCATTAAGTCTGGTCGGTGTTGTTCTTTTATTACTGCTAATGTAGTCTCCATTTCTATAATTTTGTCATTTCAGTAATATTATATAAATGGAACCATACATTATGTAGCCATTTAGGATTTGCTTTTTATGCTCCGCATAAGTCATTGGAGATTCATTCAAGCTATTGTGTATATCAATAGTTTTTTTCTTTTTATTCCTGAGTAATATTCCTTGGTGTACATGTACCACAGTTTGTTTAACCATTCACCCATGAAGGACATCAGGGTGGTTTCTAGTTTTTTGCTATTATGAATAAAGCTACTATGAACATTCATGTATAGGTTTTTGTGTGATCTTAAATTTTCATTTCTCTGGGATAAATGCCCAAGAGTGCGATTGCTGGATCATATGGTAATTTCATGTTTAGTTTTATTAGAAACTGCCAAACTGTTTTCCAGGGTGGCAGTACCATTTTACATTCCTATCAGCAGTGTATAAGTGATCCAATTTCTTTGCATCCTTGCCAGCATTTTGTGTTGTCACTCTTTTTATTTGAACTATTCCAATAGGTATTTAGTGAAAGGCCCTTTGTCAAGACTAAGCTTGCATGCATTTTGAGTTAGGGTGGACTCTGTTGGCAATAGAGTCTCTTCTCTCTTGCATTTTCTTAGGAACTAGAGGCTGCCATCCAGCCAGATACCAGCCTGGTCTCAGTCATGACTGTGAACAATGAGATTGGAGTGAAGCAACCCATTTCGGAAATAGGTTAGTATTATATATGTACCCTAATTCTTGTCCACTGCTGGAATCTGTATGGGGAGCAGGACTGGACTGGGAACTGTAACACTTTTTAGAGTGCAGTAAGGAAATCAAGGGAAAGCGAAAGTACTTTTGTTCAAGGAAATATTGTAAAGTACCCTTTATGCTCCTCTGTTTTACAGTAGTTTGTGGGAAAAACAAAACAAAACAAAATACACCCTTTTTTCTCTTTCTCTTTCCCCTTTAGAACATCTCTTTATTATCCCCACTTAGAGCCAGGGACTCACCTTATAATCTCTTAGGCATATTAGCAAATAGATCTGTTAATCTTTCTCCTTTTAAATAAAAAAAAAAAATCTGAATGTTAATATGGTATATTGAGACACTGGTGTTAATGAGATGGGAAGAGTGTTATATATATCAGAACATCAGGGGTGTTTTGGCTTCGTGCTTTGCCCTCATTTAATCCAATCAAGGAAGCTAGAACTCAAAGAGAGAGAAGTCATTTACTGTATGGCTAGAGACTAATGATGTGATCACAGTTTTACATTATGGAACCTCTTATGGGTGACTTCCCAACATTGTGCTGTGGGTCTTCCCCTCTGTTGTTTCCTTAGGGCGGATTTGCAGTTCCAGAAAGGTATATTTCCACACCGATGCAGCCCAGGCCGTTGGAAAAATCCCACTTGATGTCAACGACATGAAAATTGATCTCATGAGCATCAGTGGTCACAAAATCTATGGTCCAAAAGGTACTAGCATCCCTTAGAGTTCTTCCTCTCTATACCTCCCAGCAAGCCCTTAAACAATTGTTTCTTGGAGTCTTTGGGAGCTACCTTTACTCTCAGAGGAAATAGAATGCCTTGCAGAATGCAATTGTCATTTAGCAATAGTCAAGAATACTTGCCTATTTGTAGTCCCTAGAAGTTACTCTACAGTAGTCCATTCTTCCTAGTCCATTTAGAAAACCCTTTGAAGGCATATGGAGGCTAATTTGGTTCAGGAACAAGAGGTTTTGTCATAACAAATTTAGCTAGATAGGCCCAGCTGTCTTGTCTGCCCCACTATTATATTCGTTCTTTGACTCCTTCATTCTCAGTGTCTTGCTTTATTTAGCTTGTTGTTGTTGTTAGGTGCCATCAAGTTGGTTCCAACTCATAGCGACCCTGCGTACCGTCTTCATAATCGTTGCTATGTTTGAGCCCATTGTTGGCAGCCACTGTGTCAGTCCAACTTGTCGGAGGTCTTCCTCTCTCACTGACCCTCTACTTTACCAAGCAAGATGTCCTTTTCCAGGGACTGATGCCTCCTGATAACATGTCCAAAGTATATGAGACGAAGTCTCACCATCCTCCTTCCAAGGAGCACTCAGGCTGTTTTTCTTCCAAGGCAGACTTCTTCTTTTGGCAGTCCATGGTATATTCTTTGCCAACACCGTAACTCAAAGGTGTTAACTCTTTTTCAGTCTTCCTTATTCATTGTCCAGCTTTTGCATGTATATGAGGCAATTAAGAATATCATGGCTTGGGTCAGGTGCACCTTAGTCCTCAAAGTGACATCTTTGCTTTTTAATACTTTTGTAGCAGATTTGCCCAGTGCAGAATGTCTTTTGATTTCCTGACTGCTGTTTCCGTGGGCATTAATGGCAGATTCAAGTAAAATGAAATCCTTGACAATGTCAATCTTTTCTCCATTTATCATGATGTTGCTTTTTGGTCCAATTGTGAGAATTTTTGTTTTCTTTAAGTTGAGTAATCCATACTGAAGGCTGTGATTTTTGATCTTCATCAGTAAGTGCTTCAAGTCCTCTTTGCTTTCAGCAAGCAAGGTTGTATCATCTGCGTATCGCAGGTTGTTAATGAGTCTTCCACCAGTCGTGACGACACATTCTTCTCCGTGTAGTCCAACTGCTCGGATTATTTGCTCAGCATAGATTGAGTAAGTATGGAGAAAGGATACAACCCTGATGCACACCTTTCTTTTTTTTTATTTTTTCTCATACAAAAATTTATACATACATTGTTATGTGACTCTACTTGCTCTCCCCATACTGTGACAGCTCACTCCTCCTTTCCACCCCTGATTCCCCATGTCCATTCAGCCATCTCCTATCCCTCTCTCCCTTACCATCTCGCCTCCGGACAGAAGCCGCCCGTTTAGTCTCTTGTATCTACTTGAGCTAAGAGGCACACTCCTCACAAGTATCACTTTATGTCCCACAGTCCAGTGCAATCCCTGTCTGAAGAGTTGGTGTCGGAAATTGTTTTAGTTCTGGGCTGATAGAGAATCCAGGGGCCATGCTTTCCAGGGTACCTCCAGTCTCAGTCAGACCATTAAGTCTGGTCTTCTTAC